TGCTCTAAGTGCTTGTAGATGCCTCCAAGGATTCAGATAGATCCTATGTTAATCCAGTAGTTGATACTTCCTCCCTCAAACCACATGTTATACCGGCCGATAGAGTTGTTCTATAACTTTTACATCGCTAAATACGACGAACAAGGCAGTCAACAAAGCAAATAAATCAAAAATTTTGCTTCCACATTAGATGCAAACTTCCTTCAGTGAAGCCCGGCTCTGAATATTAATAACTTGGTCACTACCGTGGCTTTGACGAGCGATCTCTTTGCTTTGTTTGCCTTTTGCGTCATTGCGGTCACTGAATGCTCCGAATTTTTTGCATTCTTCACGGGTGGTGAATTGAAGTCCCAAAATATGTACTTTTCTGTTATAACATTCGCTTCGCAAACTACTGCTAATAATAGCGGCTTGCCTCTCCTTTCTAGCGCCATACATAGTCAATTTTCATTGGCTATACATAGATCACAATGTTCGTTGAATTTGCTTCATCCCTCTTATGGTTAGTATCTGAGAGCTAGGGAACTGAGGTATGCGTCGCAGTGATGATCTGACTTCGGCGACTGTTTGCAGAGCCATTCCATTCGATGTAATGCTATGCGCTGTGATCTTAAGATACGGAAGTATCCTCCGAGACTTATGGTTAGCCTGGTGGATGGCAGGAACTTCGAAAAAAAAGAGAATTGTCCATGCGCCTCGGAGTCTCTCCCTCACCCTTTGAAGCTTAGTCCCTTCTAGAAAGAAAAGATGTTTGATGCAGTTTTGAATGCGTTGCTGATGCAATACCTCCGTTTGCTGCGATAGCCCCGAATTGTTCTTCCGAAAGCGGCGGTTTGATTCGCTATGCTCGCAATAAGCTAAAAAGCTCGGCCGAGGCGCACTAAACGGCCGGGTTACACATAAGGAATAAACGCACCGCACATGGGTCTAAGCGATCGCCGCAATCAGGTCTTACACTTTCCCTCAACGTCCTAGCCTCGGTGGTTGTGGAATCGTTCAATAAGGTGTGCAGAGGTGAAACCACCGCATGGTGAAGTGGAATATTACGGTGGTCCCTTCAAAAAGGCATTTCTCGGGCTAGCAAAGGTGTTTTTACGTCAGTTGAGGAGGTGCAAGCATATGAAGTTAAAGCAGCACGCTGGGGCCGTATGCTGAATGTTGGGGAGGGGATGGAGTCCCCGACGGTGGACGGACCACTTCAACTCGGTCCTTAGAACCGCCACAATTTGGTGCTTACCTCAGAACTAAGCCTTAAAGAGAGGACGGGTCCGTCCCCTCTCCAAGGCTTAGTCCTGGGGTGAGCAAACCAGCCCTTTTGGAGCTGCTGGACCTAGCTGCACCACTTCGTCATCACTCTCCTACCGTACCGACCGAGTTCAAGTAGTCCGTCGACCTCGGGGACCCCATCCCCTCCCCAACATTCAGCATACGGCCCCAGCAGAAACGCAAAAAGGGCTGGTTTGCTTACCTCAACATTTCACATTCGCCACAGCACGAACCCACCTAAAAGAGCTGGGTGACTTTCTCTGAAGCGTATGCTTCACCGAACACAACACTTTTGCTTTATCAACAGTATTCCGGAAACAGTTCTGAAATATATCGTCATCGTTTCACCGGAAATTTGCTTTTACTAATTGTTAGAAATGTTGACGAAAAAAATCAATACTTTCGGGTAGAGGGCTGCTGATATTCTTCGTTAATTCAAGGTAATAATTCGTGGAGCAGACATTATACGATTAGCTCTTGAAAATCGATGACTCTTAAGGGTATCACAGTGAGAAAGACGTGCTCGAGCAGGATCACTGCGTCGGCAAAAGTTAACTGCGCGAACTTACGAACTCTGTCGTATATGTTGAATATGTATTCGACTCATCGCACAACATATATTTTTATCTCAGTTCGGCCATTCAGCGCGATTTTTTACAGAAAGGACGTGCTGCGGTGCTGCAGGACGATGACACGTTGCTGGTGATCGCGAGAGCAGTGGATTTACGCGATTCCAAGTGTAAAGTGAGTTTGAGCTTGCTATAAGGGCAATTATTGAGGATGTGTGAATGGCTGACCAGGTTTTTCACAAATTTCTTGGATCACAATTACTAGGAATTCCAGGTTAGAATCTTCAGCACTGTCATAAATGTATCCACACTCAGGGTCAGCCATCGCACGCCGGAACGGAGTTGTCAGAGGCATTAGGGCGGATCGTCTATAGGCCAAGATCAAAAAGGTTCGGATGAAGTGGGTGTATTATTTTTGCGAAGTGGAGGGGGTGTTGTCGGGAAATTACGACCACCTCTCTTAACCCATCTCTTAGAGGCGATAACTTCAGAAAAGAAAAGCGAAATGGGCAAAATTAGAGACCCGGAGAGGAGTAATGGACGGATTGGAGCGTGGCGGCTGGTCGCAGAATCAGGTAGTGTGTATATAAACATCCTCATGACGGTGAGGGTGGTGGTAGTAGATCCTGAGAGGAGATCGTATAGGGGGATTCTCTCTTGAGGCAAATGGTGGTGGAGAGGAGTTTTATCGAGATCCCCTCCGAGGGGTGGTGGTGGAATTTCCGGAATGAAAACAAAGGACTGTTGATCCTGTGCACAGCGTTTTGCAAGATTCTTTCCGCTAGATTACACGATATGGTCATGTTGCAAGTGAACCCAGCCCTCTAGCTCCGAAGGAGTAAAAGAGAATACGGGTCAAACTGCATAAACCGACCCTCCTTCTCTTTGTGGTGGTTTTAGAATGGATGGGCCAATTCATTGTTGCCAGCTGCAAAGTTCAAAGCGAGTGTTTGTGTTGATGCGTCGGATTTGACTCCCACCAGATCTTGAGGTGATTGCCCACTGCTGGAAAATTGACCCACAATTTTCATGACTGCTATTGTTTCCTGTTTTTACGAAACAAATTGAGGGCCCAGACAGCCGAGAGTCAAATCGAGATTGGTTATTCAGATTGTCGCCGTGGAAATTCTCTCCGGTCTCTGCTTCGTACCAGAAGACGGTCATTCCAAAGTGCTCACAGCGCTAACACAGGTTTTTCATCGTAGACATGACATTTTATGGTTCACATTTTTGATAAGCCTATCGATTCGAAGAGATTCCATTTGACAGGTGTCGTCAGTACTCGGTGAACGAACACGTTTCCAAACACTCGTCAACGAATTGCATAGAAAGTAAGTCCAAGTTCAAACAGTTATGTTACGGGTGGAACAGCGCACTTTTAAAGGCACAATCCGGGAAGAAGTCGGGTGAACGACTCCTCTCAATCTGTAGGATAAACCCTGGACGACAGTCACAGACGTGGCAGTCCCATACATGTAAATGATCGCTAAAAGCCGATAAAGCCTTCCAAAGACAGCTTCATCAGCTTCAATTTCCCTGTCCACAGCAGGCTGTTAACCGCGCTTTCTCATTTGCTGCGTCTCTCAGCTCATTCTCTCCTTTCCGTGCTCTGTATCTTATTATCTTGGCACAGCCGCATTACGAAGGTGAGCAAACCGTCGAGTCAGACGTGTTTGACAGATTCTTCTCCTTCTTTCTTTACTGTCCACCCATTTCGTACCGAAACTTTCATATTATTGTGTAAGAACAGCACCAGTTCAATCGTGGGGCATGCCTTAACCCTTTGATGATAAAGCGGATTTGCACGTAGCGTGCTCGTGGGACCACGCTTTTTTGGCGCGC